AGTCTTCTAATTGTGCATTGAATATTTCCATTGCATTAATTCCCTTTGTAAATCTTTGTCTTTCATCATCAATAATTCACTTGTGATACTTACAGATGATCATCAAAGGCCTACAAAACTCTACATTCAACCCAACCCAAGCTGCAAAACCCCATTTAATTAACCAACTTGTACAGTGAAGCATGTGCCATCTGGGACACAGGGCCTGATGACAACCGATTCAGGTCTGATACCCGATTCTACCACTTGCCCAGAATTTCCTTCCTGTTGCTAATCTGGCAACACTTCCATTGAAATTATCGCAAACTGACCACCTGGCTAGTGAATCAAACCAGCTCCCAGGCAGTGCAAAGTATTTTCATCATAAACCAGCGCGCATGGCCCTACGCTTCCTGGTGCTACAGCTCCGTGTGTCTTACACCCAGTGACAAGCTTTGGGAAGCACCTTCTTGCTCTGACCTGGTGATACCGATTCGTGATGTGATGCTACCATTTAACAGGGTGACGTGGACAAGCCATTTCTATTCCTGCTTCAGAACATGGTTTCCGGGAGTCCGCTGGGAAAAGCAGTCCACAGGGCAGAAATGGAAGCTACTCACCTGGAACCAGAGTTGTTCTTTCGGTGGTTGGGGGCATGTCCCAGGAGTGGGGATGGACAGTCCAGTCCAAGGACAGCTACCCCACATTTCTCCAGACTGGCTCTAGTTTTCTCTGTCCCGTTTCTGGGATCTGGGGACTTTTCCCTGCCACTTTGGTTTGAATTCGTTACTTTTTCACACACGTTTTGCGACTTAACGAGGTAACGCTTGGAACGGAATGGCCCACGTGGGGAAAAAGGGGGAGTTCAAAGTCTCCTCTGGAATGGACAGGCCAAGCCACCTTCCAAAGCTGGGCCATTAGCGCGCACTGTGCTGTGGACTCTAGAAAACAGAAGGGGTCAGTAAAACACATCTGCTTGTATCAAAAATACCTATGGATTGACCGGAATGCTAGATACTAAAACACTGTCAAATCCAGTTTAAAACCAGCACACAAGTGTTCAGTCCACCCTGTTAACCTAGGTACCCTATGAAACAGCATCACTGTCGTTGGACTCTTATCCGACAACACATGGCTGGGGAATAACACAAGCCGCCAAGCACACGGCACTAACGCTGCGGTTTGGAGAACCCCAGGACAGGAAACGCCAACTCCTGGACTCCCTCGCTCCTCTGGAGTGACCGGCTTGCAGCAGCCCTGTCCTACCTACGTCCCGCTCCCACGGCTGCTCATGGGAAAGGCTCAAAGATTTGGTCCGGTTGAGGGGCCAGCTCCTGGCCCTGCTGCCCCTCCGTCCCCAGGAAGGTTTCAGGCCGTGCTGTGAACGTGCCTGCTGCTGCGGGAGTCACACCTGCACGCCTCGGCCGTGCATCTGGATCACCTGGGCACGCAGGGTCTGGATCCCGCTCAGGATGGTTTTCTGATGGTCCACCGAGGTGATTCCCAGGCTCAGGACATCTCTGGAAAAGAAACCCCGCCGCAGAGGTGAGTGCGCAGCGTCCGAGCCCGGAGGCCACCCACCAAGGCAGATTTTAGATCAAAAGGCAAGTGTGGACGCGGGGTACAGGTCCGGCCTTAGGGCAAGGCGAGCAAGGCGGTTGACTCGGGCCCCGTGCCTCCAGGGCCCTGAACTGAAATTCAGGCCCCCAATGGCTGTGTGGACCAAGGTGCCCCAACCCGGCAGGCTCTGGGCAGGTGCCCTGCACCGTGTCTGTGTGCACTCCCCAAGCCTCTTCCCCAGCGCTCTGCGACCTGGGCAGCCCCGAGCCCCAGGGAGCCTGGAGGTGGGACCGAGGGTGGCAGCGAGACCCCTGCAGAGCCCGGGACCCACTCTGCACTGTGTCCTGGAACTGGCGGAGCTGTGGGAGCTGTGGCAGTGCAGCTCAGCTGAAGCAGAACCGCGAGGTGAGGCAGGCGGGAGCATAGTAAGTGACAGAGAGCCCAAGGTGCCCGCGGTTCGGCTGCGCCCTGCAGCCAACCTGCTTCCAGGCCCCTGTGGAACCAGCCACTGGGGAGCCCGGGACAGAGAAAGTCCTGCCTGGGCTCTGCCCCTCAGTGTATTTAACGGTTCTAACAAGTTCTATGGGTTACAATTCAACAGGCCATAATACATTTTTTTGGAATTAGTCGCACATTGCCCTGCCGGGGCCCTTCACTGCTCCTAAAAATTCTGTTTTCACACATTTTAAAGCAAAATGTTGGTAAACAAAAATAACCAAAAATGTGCTCAAACTTGTTCTCGGTTGTGAGTGACAGCTGGCAGGGCTGCCTGGCCTGGACTCTGCAACCCCTCAGCTGAGTCTGACAAACTAGACCATCCACCGGCCAGGCCCCGCTCTCAGCATGTTGCCTTGGGCCCCGCAAACTCTTTGGCTGGGCCTGACGGTGACAGGGGTCAGGATGAGAGAAGCCAAACCCAAAGGGAGCAGGCTGGAGGACAAGTGTCCCGGTGAGACTAGGGCTACATCTAGACTACAGGCTTTTGTCGACAGAAGTTTTGTGGACAGATACTGTTGACAAAGAGCATCAAGACTACAGCCAGTTCTGTTGACAAAGCAAGTCGCGTGATTCCTCATAGAATGAGGTTTACCACCGTCGACCAAACTGCTGAGTTTTGTTGACGTTATGTCGACAGAACTCAGAGGCAGTGTAGACACAGTTATAGTTTTGTTGACAAAAGTCCACTTTTGTCGACAAACCCTGTAGTCTAGACACACCCTAGGAGTGCACTTGGGGGCAGTGTTATTGAAATAGAAAATAGGAGTGTCATTTTAGACTCTCCAGGGAAGATCTGAGTTGTGCCAGGGGTGACAGCTGGCCAACCACTCACCCACAAATATTATAACTGGCCTCAAGTTTTCCAGCTTTAAAAGCTAATCAGGTCAAAGGACAGAGACACGCTCAAACACCTGGGCTGTGTCTACACTGGGCCACTTATTCCGGAAAATCAGCCGCTTTTCCGGAATAAGCTGCGAGCTGTCTACACTGGCCCTTGAATTTCCGGAAAAGCAACGATGCTCTACTGTACAAAATCAGCCACTATTCCGGAAAAACTATTCTGCTCCCGCTCGGGCATCAGTCCTTATTCCGGAACACTGTTCCGGAAAAGGGCCAGTGTAGACAGCCCAGTAGTCTTTTCCGGAAAAAAGCCCCGATCGCGAAAATGGCGATCGGGGCTCTTTTCTGGAAAAGCGCGTCTACATTGGCCACAGACGCTTTTCCGGAAAAAGGGCTTTTCCGGAAAAGCAGCCTGCCAATGTAGACGCTCCTTTTCCGGAAAAACTGAAAACGGAATAGTATTCCGTTTTAAGCATTTCCAGAAATTCATGCCAGTGTAGACACAGCCATGCAGTGCCAACCTCTCCTGGCATGTGTTCTGGGGCGGAGGCAGCGGGCACCACATGCATGCCTCTAGCTGGCTCACATGTCACAGTGACTGCCTGGTAGGGCAGAGCGGACCCTCTTTACTTACTGGACGGTCATCCTTGCCACGGATTCCAGGTAGCAGTACCCCGCCGCGGCGAAGTTATCCTTGTACCGGCCCATCTCTATGGCTTCCAGCCACTCGCCCACGGAGCTGAACGATGGGAAGGCCGAGAAGGTGCGTTCCGCCAGAGGGATGGATGTGTTGCGAGGCCTGCCAACTCAAACAGCGCATGAGCCGTGAGAGCCCATCGGAGGAAGGGGACTGAGTCTGGCAGCTACCTCCCCCGCAGGCCTGAACGCTAGCGTGGCCCATGCAAGTTCTCGGGGAGCCATTTAGGCCACACATGGAAGCTGAATGCTAGACCCTAAAGTGAGCACTGTAAGGAAGGGGAGAGCTATGGGACGGTGGCTACTGGGCTCCCTAGCCCTACCCACTCACCGTGGGTGCGGCATGACAGAATGGTTTGCAGTCCTGTCAGAAGCTGTGTCTGGCTTTGATCCGCTCAGCTGACAAGTGCTCTTAAACCCGTGCTCCCTTCTCTGCTTTCAGTTCCTCGTCAGTCACTGAATCCTCCTTCCAACCAGAGCTCCCAGACCCTGATCCACTGGGGCTGTGGAGAAGCATGTTCCCTCTAATCTTTTCCAACCATGCACTGATTTTTTCTGCGTGGAATAAATTTTGTTACATGCACTGAGGCACATGTGAATGTGCATCACCCGGAGAAACACAAACTTAGCTGTGGGTGCTCTGCTAGACAGCTGGGTGGCACTGGAATCTCTCCCGAGCGGCCACACAAGCGCCCGGCTTATGGGGAACACGGGTGCAGAGCGTGGGGCTGACATGTCAGTGCTGAGTGAGCTGGAGGCGGAGAGGTGGTGAGAGGTTTGGTTCGGCAGCACAGGCAGCGTGGGAGAAAACATCAGACCACCTGGGTGGTGCGGACAGGGGCCCCTCCCAATAGTGCGTTCGCTGGGCCCTGCTTCCCACGCCTCTCTCTGCGCTGGCACACAGGGCGCCGCACGGATCTATGGGTGGTGGGGGGCACAGACTCTTTGGATGCCCTCTGGGAATCCTGCCACCCACCCTGTGCATTGGTTCTGCTGCCCCTAGGGCTCTGTGTGCCCAGAGAAGTGGGAGGGTAGAACCGTGGCCACGTGGCTCTCTTAGGGGTGGGGTGGGCGAAGGGGCTGTTTCTTTGCTCTCTCAACGTTCGGGATTGGGCTGCAGCCCCGGCTCTAGGGCCCTGCAAGGTGCGGGGAGGTCCCAGGGCTCAGGCTGCAGCCCAGCACCCTAAAGGTCTACACTACCATGAAGCAGCCTCTTAGCCAGAGGGGCAGGTGTCCAGGTGCAGTGTAGCCATGCCCCCGGGGCAGCTAGCTAGACTCAAGCCTTGGCAGGGGCGTATTCCTGGCGTCAGCCCGCTGAGCTCCACGCAATGCTCTGTGAGCTCCCTGGGGAAAAGGCAGCCTCAGCAGTCCAGGAATCCATCCAGCAGTCCAGATGCCCTGAGGCAGACTGGACTCAGAGAGCCTGATCCCACCTAGAGTCGTGCCCATCTGGGGAATGTTGGGGCTCTGGATTTGCTGCCGTGTGACGGGGGCCGCCCTGCAGCTAGCTGCATGGCCGGTGGGTTGCCTACAGAGGGGACCACTCCCGAACTCTGGAAGTAAAGAGAAAGATCAGTGACAAGGGCAGATTTTCACCTGGTGCAAGTGGAAGAGGCACATTTCAGTGGCTCCGGGTTTTGAAGCATCTTGCTGAGGATGTTGTGGATGTGGGAGAACTTGGGCCTCTCGTTGCGATCCTTCTGCCAGCAATCCAGCATGAGCTGGTGCAGGGGGGGCTGGCAATTCATCGGGGGAGGCAGCCGGAACCCATCCTCAATGGCCTTTATCACAGAGCAGTAAAAAGGCATCAGAGCAAAGCAGCACTGCGGTCCCTGTCCGTCAAAGCCACCCACGTTACAATGCTCCCATTGTTTTCTGAGAGCAGCGGGAAATTTTTCAGGGGAAATGTTTTCACCAAAAATCGGCAATTTGGGTCAACTGGAATATTGAACGAATTCCTACTAAAATTGCCAAATTATTTGCTTTGGTCCAAAAAATGTTTTTAAAACCCTGAAAAAACTCCCAAACATTATTTCTTTTAATATCGTTACAAATGTTAAAAGGGTAAAAAAAAAAAAAGTCAAAAAATAACTGAAAAGTTTTGTTTCAGGCTGAAGAAAAAAAATCTCGTTGAACCCTAAACAGCTGTTTTAAATGTTTCTGGTTCTTTGCACAGCTCTGCTCTTATATGCCCAAGTATCCCCGTGCAGCACGTTAACCCAAGATGCAAATACGGATGCAGGCAAGCGCCATACGTGGCTTGCCATTCATGCTATCCGAGAATGCCCTTCCTTGACACATGGTCACGGATCAAGGGCCGCTCTCTGCTTGCGGTCCGCATGAGGGGGCTGCAAAGTGACTCACATCCTGGCTGGACATATCCCAGTAGGGCCTCTCCCCGTAAGACATCACTTCCCACATGACGATGCCGAAGCTCCACACGTCGCTGGCAGAACTGAAGCGATGGTACTGGATGGCTTCGGGGGCTGACCACAGCAACGGGCTCTTTCCGCTCTGGCCATGCAGAAGAAAGGAAGACACGAGGTTCTCAGCAGCAGATGGGTGAGGGCCACATGCATACTGGCTCGCTCACGCCTCAGAGCCGCACGCGTCAGAGAGCAGCCAGTGACCACAGATCTCGGCACCATGTGCAATTTTAATCTGAGGGGGAAACTGAGCCCCACAATCCACCAATGCAGGGCACTGGTGTCCTGAAATATTAATGAAAGAGGTACAGGCTCCTAAAGGAGCTGCTATTTTATCCATACATATTGAACAAACACACCCTCAGAACCGTGCAACACGCCGCTCCTCCCTCCCACTTCACCTCTCTGGTAATTAGCAAAGGCCTCTGCAGCCGCCTTCTGCTCTACCAGCATTGGGCTCCTTTCGGTTCATGCCGATGAACTGCTAGGGACCGAAATGATCCCTGCTCATTGGGGAGAAGGGAGCCTGGCGTTCCCATGGGTCTCCTCACCAGCCTTTCCTCAGCTGGGGCATATTCAGCTCCCAGTCTCTCGTTCGCACCAACGAGGTTTCCCTCCATGACATTTGGGACTCGGGTGCACAACTATTGCACCAGATGACACGCTTTCCCTTTCAGTCCTCAGCGACTCTCAAGCAGGCTCACCCCGGCCTACATGTTGGATTTGTTTAGTCTGCAGAGAGAAGAGTGAGGGGGGATTTGGTAGCAGCCTTCAACTTCCTGAAGGGAGGTTCCAAAGAGGATGGAGAGAGGCTGTTCTCAGTAGTGATGGGCGGCAGGACAAGGAGCAATGGTCTCAAGTTACAGTGGGGGAGGTCTAGGTTGGACATTAGAAAAAAAACTATTTCACTAGGAGGGTGGTGAAGCACTGGGATGGGCTCCCTAGGGAGGGGGTGGAATCTCCATCCCTAGAGGTTTTTCTGAAGGGAGGTTCCAAAGAGGATGGAGAGAGGCTGTTCTCAGTAGTGATGGGCGGCAGGACAAGGAGCAATGGTCTCAAGTTACAGTGGGGGAGGTCTAGGTTGGACATTAGAAAAAAAACTATTTCACTAGGAGGGTGGTGAAGCACTGGGATGGGCTCCCTAGGGAGGGGGTGGAATCTCCATCCCTAGAGGTTTTTAAGTCTTGGCTTGACAGAGCCCCGACTGGGTTGGTTTAGTTGGGATTGGTCCTGCCTTGGGCAGGGGGCTGGACTTGATGACTCCTGAGGTCTCTTCCAGCTCTGACGATGCCGAAGCTCCACACGTCGCTGGCAGAACTGAAGCGATGGTACTGGATGGCTTCGGGGGCTGACCACAGCAACGGGCTCTTTCCGCTCTGGCCATGCAGAAGAAAGGAAGACACGAGGTTCTCAGCAGCAGATGGGTGAGGGCCACATGCATACTGGCTCGCTCACGCCTCAGAGCCGCACGCGTCAGAGAGCAGCCAGTGACCACAGATCTCGGCACCATGTGCAATTTTAATCTGAGGGGGAAACTGAGCCCCACAATCCACCAATGCAGGGCACTGGTGTCCTGAAATATTAATGAAAGAGGTACAGGCTCCTAAAGGAGCTGCTATTTTATCCATACATATTGAACAAACACACCCTCAGAACCGTGCAACACGCCGCTCCTCCCTCCCACTTCACCTCTCTGGTAATTAGCAAAGGCCTCTGCAGCCGCCTTCTGCTCTACCAGCATTGGGCTCCTTTCGGTTCATGCCGATGAACTGCTAGGGACCGAAATGATCCCTGCTCATTGGGGAGAAGGGAGCCTGGCGTTCCCATGGGTCTCCTCACCAGCCTTTCCTCAGCTGGGGCATATTCATCTCCCAGTCTCTCGTTCGCACCAACGAGGTTTCCCTCCATGACATTTGGGACTCGGGTGCACAACTATTGTGCCAGATGACACACTTTCCCTTTCAGTCCTCAGCGACTCTCAAGCAGGCTCGCCCCGGCCTACATGTTGGATTTGTTTAGTCTGCAGAGAGAAGAGTGAGGGGGGATTTGGTAGCAGCCTTCAACTTCCTGAAGGGAGGTTCCAAAGAGGATGGAGAGAGGCTGTTCTCAGTAGTGATGGGTGGCAGGACAAGGAGCAATGGTCTCAAGTTACAGTGGGAGAGGTTTAGGTTGGACATTAGAAAAAAAACTATTTCACTAGGAAGGTGGGGAAGCACTGGGATGGGCTCCCTAGGGAGGGGGTGGAATCTCCATCCCGAGAGGTTTTTAAGTCTTGGCTTGACAGAGCCCCGACTGGGATGGTTTAGTTGGGATTGGTCCTGCCTTGGGCAGGGGGCTGGACTTGATGACTCCTGAGGTCTCTTCCAGCTCTATGATTCTATGGTTCTGCATTTAGCAGGTCAGGGGGATTCACCAGACACTCCACCAGCATCCGACACTGAGCCCCGCCAAGGGTCTTTCAAGCCTCTTTCCAAATGCCAGAGCTGGCGAGTGAGGTGAGTAACCAGCAAGGCAGGCAGGCAGCTGTACCCACTCTCTCTGGGAAAGTCACTCCCTCAGTCCCAAAGCTGGCTGAAGCCAGCAAACACCAGCAGCAGCCGCTCTCCGTCCATGCTACCAAAATACTGCCTGCGACATGATGTGTCCTTTGGATGGAAGAATCCATTGGGTTTTAAATACTAACGCCGTGGTTCATGTGGTGATATAAGGCTCGGGGAGGCTGGCTGCAGGGCATCAAACGAAACATATTTTATTGCTTTTCAGTTAAACACGCCGTACGTTGATTTCTTCACTGGCCAGCGAAAGGCACTGCATTGGACTGGGAATGAATGAGTGAGAGCAGCACGAGACAGCCATGATGGAGCGTGACTCCATGACTGAGCATGCTCGGAATGAGACTCCGTTTGTCTGCAGGACGGTTCCCCCTTCTGCATTGCCGTGTTCGGGGCGTGGGCGTGTTTCTGGGGGACAGCGATGGGGTCTCATGCACCACAGCTTTCCGGCTCTGAGGGGGAGTGTTCAGGGAGCAGATAGGCAGGGAACACGGAGGAGGCACGTGCGCGAATCAGGCAGGTCTTAAATTCTTAATTGAAAACCGTGAATTTTATTACAAGTGATAAAACACACATGACTAACCCTCAGGCTGCGTGAGCTGCTGACAACTTCCCGTGTGTGTACACACACAATGGTGATAAGAGGAGAAGAATTTGTGTTGCACTGATTCAGATTCATAGAGCATTTAACTTAGCATTTCACTGCCGTTTACTTTAATCTCCCACTGAAAAGAAAACTGTTAACACGCAAATATTGGACTCCTATATCAGGGAGAGACCAAGCAAGCAGAAAACCTACAGCTTCCACGTCAGGTTCGCTGACTCTGGTATTAAGTAGTGCTGTGAAACTCTGCTGGCTTTAGATTTTGATCCCTACTCAAAATTCAGATCAGGCCTGTGAGACTCTTGGATGATGCTGGGCCTCGTTTTAGGTTTTCCAGGTTGTGGCTTTGCATCCAAACCAGGTGAGATCCAGTTTTGCAAAGATTCAGTGTAAGACCGTGCCCATTATACCCAAGGGTGGCTTTTGGCTTTGGGAAATGCTGGGACCAGATGTCAAAGCTAAAGGAAACCTTCTCACCAGCCCTGTGACATTGAACCAGACAGGGTCCTGGTGACAGCGAGCCCTGGGTGCTGGGAGGAAGATGTTGGCTCTCTCTTTCAGGAGCAGGGGAGTTCAAGAAGACACTCCCCACCTTGACAGAACTGTGCTCCTGTTCTGACAGGTGGATCAAAATGGATGATTTAAAAAAAAAGTCATATTTGTTTAAATTTTAAATGTGATTTTTTTTAATCATTCATAAAAAACGAAATTTCTCCTTTAAAAATAACAGCTACAATTCAATCTCATCACAAACATGAGAACCAGCACTTGCTTCCTGAATGTTCTGGGCTTTCAATTTCTGTTTCTCAGCAGATCACAAAGTCACATGTGCTAAGAGTCACTGGCTGGTCAGAATTGTTTGTGTTTTGTGCTTATATGGTGGTGGACCGTGGCCAAGCACAGCAGAGGAATTAGTTAAGACAGAGGGTATGTCTATACTGCATTTTTTCCAGAAAAACAACCTTACAGCCACACTGCTATTGTGTTCTTTTGACAGAAAGTCAAAAGAACGGAGGGTTTTTTCCGATAGCAGTAAACCTCATTCTACGAGGAAGAAGCCTTTTTCAGAAAAAGGTGTGTGTGGATGCGGAAGAGAGTGTTTTTTCAAAAGAAGAGGCCTCCAGGAAAAAGCACAGGTGCCCTGGTGGCCACTCCGTCCACAGTAATCACAACTGAAATGTGAGATAGCGCCCAATGAATGGGGATGCTATCTTTCGAAAAAGCAGATCATTTTTTCGTTGAGCTTTTGCTGTGTGGATGCTCTCTTTCAAAAGAAGTTTTTTCAGAAGATCTCTTCTGGAAAGGCTTCTTCTGAAAGAAGTCTGCAGTCTAGGCGTAGCTAGAGAGACAATATATAGGAAAAGACAGCACAGAAAAGTGCTGGAATAGACTGGAAAGAAAGTGGGAAGACGTTATTCAGCACACACATGGCTTTCTACATTCCCCTATGCTTTTGCCACAGAAAAACTGTCATGGAATATGGGCGTAAGAGTGACCCTGTCTGGGAATATTTTGAAGAAATTCATTCTCTGAGTAAAAAAAAAGGAAAATGAGTCACGTGTCAGCAGTGCAAGAAGCTGCAAGGCCCAGTTGCAAGAATGAAATGTCATAAGGAAAATTGCTTATTGGGGGGAAATGACGTGAGTATGGCCGAGTGGATCAGCTGGTTAGTAACGTAAAAAATTCACTTTGCAATGCACCATTCTTCAAGACTCTCTCTGTGCCTTTTAGTAGAAGTGGGATTTGACAGGTAAATTCCGAGGCGGTTTGCTGTGTTGGATGTTGCTAGAAAAACGGTTTAGCTTAGCTAGAACGTATGGCTTGCTTAATTAGTTAGCTAGGTTTGGAATCTGTCACTCGAGTATACAGCACAGAAAGGTGCGGTAAGAGACACGTAAAATTGCCAGTTGCCACTTAGTGTCATTTTCTTATTTTAAACGACACTAGCAGACTTCCCGGCATTGCCTGGGTCCTTCAGGGCAGGAAGCTGGTGGGGGTGAGGTCGCAGGGTAGGGCCTTGGAGATATGGGGGCAGTGCAGCAGGCTGGAGGTGGGCAAAGGTTTCAGAGTGAGGGCCTGGACATGAGGAGAGGCTCAGGGTGGAGGGTCCCTCTGGCACAGGCCTTTTTTCCCCCCTCCCCCCAGGCCTCCCTGGCTGCCAGGGGCGCTTTCTGTTCCCTTTCTGTCCCCCCAGTCCGCAGATGGTGAGTATTAGAAAGACTCCGCCCCCCCCCCCAGCTCTGTCACGGCACAGGTATTGCACTGTCAGCAGCTCCCCATCCTTGCTAGTGCCCCGCAGCTTACCATGGTGGTGAAGATGGTCTCCATTTTATCGTCTTGGGACTGTCGGAAGCCTGATATTTTGCACACCAGGTTGCTATTCACAAGGACTCTGTGGGCAGCAAGGCTTTTATGGATATAACCCATCTCGGTCAGGTACTTCATGCCGGAGGCGATCCCATGTAACATACCAGTCAGCTGAGTGGCCGTGAACTGGCCCTCATGTTTCTGCAAGACAGGAGAAAGGGAGGCTGAACTTCATGGAGGTCCCACTTGGGCTCAGCTTAGCAAAGTGGAGACTAAGGGTGCATATGCTAGAGCTCTATAAAATCATGACTGGTGCGGAGAAAGTGAATAAGGAAAAATAATTTGCTTGTTGACATAACACAAGAACTGGGAGTCACCAAATGCAATTAATAGGTAGCAGGTTTAAAACAAACAAAAGGAGGTGTTTCATCACACAATGCACAGTCAATCTGTGGAACTCCTTGCCAGGGGATGTTGTGAAGACCAGGGTTAAAAAAAGAGCTAGATAAATTCATAGAGGAGACATTCATCAATAGCTATTAGCCAGGATGGGTGGGAACAGTGCCCTAGCCTCTGTTTGTCAGAAGCTGGGAATGGGTGACAGGAGGGATCACTTGATGATTTCCTGTGTTGTTCATTTACTCTGGGGGCACATAGCATCAGCCACTGTCGGCAGACAGGATAGTGGGCTAGATGGAATTTAGGTCTGACCCAGTCTGGCCATTCTTATGGCTTGTGTCACAAAACAGGTCATGTTGTGACAGTGGTTAGCTAGGAAAACGGCTGCACTGCTAGCCAAGGTTCCCGGGGGTAACCAATACCCATGGACACTCACCCTGAGAAATGAATCCAGCACCCCATTCCCCATATATTCCATCACAGTCATCATGGTATTTCCTGGGAGCACAGACAGAAAAGGAGTAGTTAGCTACCCTTGGTTTTTATCCAGCACAGATCATACACTCAGCAAAGCCTCCAGATCCAAAGATGCTGAGCCCTTAACCCTTAAATCCTTTACAATTATTTTCTGCCGGCTTTTACTCATGAGAGATTTGGGTCTTGGCTGCTCTGCCTTTCATGGGCATCTCCGTGCATAGAGAATCAGTCAGACAGCCACGTTCAAAGGAAGGGAATCCCGAGCAAAGGAGGGGAAGAGATTTCTAGTCACCCTTTAGAACCAATTTAAAAAAAACCCTCCAAGTCAAATGTCGGATGAACAGTGGGGAGAAACACTCTCTCAAAAATTCAGCAGTGCCACCTCCTGCTGCCAAAGGGGAGAAGGTTTGGTTTTGTGGCACATGGGGCCACCGTCCAGCAGGAAAGAGTCTGCATCTCACAAGGGAGGGAGACTAATCCTCTCGGGTGCACACTGACTAGATCAGCCCGAACAAGAGAAGGGGAGGGGGGCCCAGAAGACATATGCAGAAGAAACCCAAACTTAACTTGTCGCAAACAATTTGAACCCACTTGGCAAAGAATCACAGAACATTAGAACTAAAAGGAACCTCGAGAGGTCATCAAGTCCAGTCCCCTGCCCTCATGGCAGGACTCAGTACCATCTAGACCAGGGGTTTCCAACTTTTTTCAGTCCCTGTACCCACTTGGCTTTTAGTAAACCTTCCCACACCCCCTATTCAATATGAAAGGAAATAAATTCTAGACTCTAGAATCCCCAACTTTTTTCACTAACACTACTACTTTTGTGTAGAATAGTGATAGAAATGTAGCCGTGTTAGTCTGGGGTAGCTGAAGCAAAATGCAGGACAATGTAGCACTTTAAAGACTAACAAAATGGTTTATTAGATGATGAGCTTTCGTGGGCCAGACCCACTTCCTCAGATCAAATAGTGGAAGAAAATAGTCACAACCATATATACCAAAGGATACAATTAAAAAAAATGAACACATATGAAAAGGACAAATCACATTTCAGAACAGGAGGCGTATGCGGGGGCGGGGGGAGGAGGAAGGAAGGTAAGTGTCTGTGAATTGATGATATTAGAGGTGGGGAGAGTGGGACGTCTGTGAGCTAATGGTATTAGAGGTGATAATTGGGGAAGCTATCTTGGTAATGGGTAAGATAGTTTGAGCATTTGTTCATTCCTTCCCGGAGAGTGTCGAATTTTAACATGAATGACAGTTCAGAGGATTCCCTTTCAAGTGCAGATGTAAAAAGATAGCTTCCCCAATTATCACCTCTAATATCATTAGCTCACAGACATTTACCTTCCCCCTCCCCCGCATCCCCCTTCTGTTCTAAAATTTGATTTGTCCTTTTTATATGTGTTCATTTTTTTTAATTGTATCTTTTGGTATATATGGTTGTGACTATTTTCTTCCACTATTTGATCTGAGGAAGTGGGTCTGGCCCACGAAAGCTCATCATCTAATAAACCATCTTGTTAGTCTTTAAAGTGCTACATTGTCCTGCATTTTGCTACTACTACTTTTGGAATATTTCAATTAGGATAATCTAGTTATTTACCAAATATTCCCCATACCCCCTTGACAAACTTCTCCTATCCCCTGGGGGTACCCGTACCCCAGGTTGGGAACCCCTGGTCTAGACCATCCCTGATAGATGTCTATCTAACCTGCTCTTAAATATCTCCAGAGATGGAGATTCCACAACCTCTCTAGGCAACTTATTGCAGTGTTTAACCACCCTGACCGCTAGGAAGTTTTTCCAGATGTTCAACCTAAACCTCCCCTGCTGCAGTTTAAGCCCATTGCTTCTTGTCCTAAAGAAAGCGAAGAGAAGAAAATTGTCAGTTGCTGCATAACTGACGCTGGGATTCCGGGTAACAAGCGAGAGGAACTGGATGAAAAGAAACTCAATAGAATTGGTATTATTGCATGGTTGGACTGTCCAGGACTGGAACGTTAACATCACTGGTTATACCATCCTCAGGAGGCAACACTCTATATAATAGACAGGACCATTTTCAGAGTGACTGAGACCACAGTCTCAGGACTGTGGATGTATATGGCTCAGTGTGTTAAGTGACAAACTCCAGGAGGGGGTACTGATGAGTAGACATCAACTCAAACCAGAGAGCAGGTGGAGCTGCTTTTGAAGCACCTGTCAACAGTGTACAGAAAGAAAAATTGGTTTGGGAAGGGGGCTTCAACCCCCAACTCAGATGAGAAAGGGTTAAATGCCCGGTCACAGTCACTGGTGGTGGTAATTAAGGAGTTACCCCTCAGAGAGACAAGTCAGGACTAAGGAATGATCCGGTGACAACAGACAGGGCCTTATACATCATCTGAGAGCCTGCAGCCAAAGGAGAGAAGCCGCAGAGAGTTGACTGGCTCCTGTGACTGGCCAATGCGCCAGAGACGGCCGGAGGCTACTGGCCTTGGGATGAACAGGACAGCACTTGATACCAGAGCCAGGGACAGGCAGTAGAATCCCCGGGTGAGAGGGCAGGTTGATTCTTTGGGATTTGGACGGCCCCTGGCCTTGACCAGAGGGCCGAGTGGCACAAAGACAGACAGTCTCCATGGGCACCAGAGAGGAAAAATCCCACACAGCCCTGCACCCGGAGACAAGAGGGCATAGCTAACGGGGAGTGCGCGTTGGCACTGGGGGTCATAGGCTGGAGGTCTCAAACAGGCAGCAGGGAAAGATCACTCCAAAGATGCTGCACCCATAATAGGGTTTTATGGTAAGCCTCACCTTAGCGGTTCTGGTTAACCGGTGGGGGCAGGGGCCCAGGCTGCTCCAGCTGGCAAGGGGGCCACTCCACACTAGAGCGCCCCCACACACCTCCCCTTTAATCGGTTAACTAGTTAAACACTACGTTTAACCAGTTAACCCATTAAGCGTCCTGAACCCATGGCAAGGTACTTCTATTTTGGACCTTGCAATGATGGATGACGATGAATCAATCCCTGGACTGGGGACCAATGATAAGGCTCCGATTTCATTCAATATGGGCAAACAGCGGACAGTCCCAACCAGTAACACTGAATTTTTTCTTTAAGAAGAGTTTATTAGCTGGCCAAAAGCCACAATTTCACTGTCAAGAAAGAGAACAGCTGAGGGTGAAAGCCCACCTTGGCTCAGAGGTGGAAGTGCAGGCCACGATTAGAAATAAAATAGCAACATGTACCAAAAGGAACCCGGGGGAAAGAGGAAGGAATCAATATGAATGAGAAGTTTGCGAAGTGTAGGAAATCAGTAAGAAAAACGAAGGACACCAGGGAGGATCCATGCAGGCAAAGCTCAGGTCAATAAGGAGGAGTTTTATAAGTGTTTCAGGGACTTAAGCAATCCTAGCAATGATTCTGGCCTATTGCTAAGCGTAGAACAGGTCTGCACAACTCGGAAAGCGGCAAGGGCCATATTACTCCAAAGGAAACAGCTGCTGGCCGCAAGTAGGGATGCTCTCCCAAAAACTACCGAACACGCGGGCTAAACATTTTTGTCAAGCAAAAACAAAAAAACCCACGTGTGTCTCCACTTGGCCCCCTGGCATTTGTCTCTCCTGCACCCTGCCCCTTGGTGCCTTCCCCCTTCTCCTGACCTGCCCCCTTCCCCTAAACACAAGTCCCTTCCCTTCCCCTACCTGGCTTCTGCCTTCCAGGTTGTGGGGCTGCCGGAGCCTTTTTGAATCTGGCAGTCGCCGGCCATGACGTCACGACTGTCCTGGCGTCTGCCGGCGTCCCGCTCTCTGGCTCGTGCCCTGCCTCCTCGAACCGGAGCTGCATGCAGACAGCCCGGCAGCGAGAATCACCGCACTTCCCCCTCCCCGGCGGTACTCCGCTTCTCCGCCCAGCCGGCGGATCGGATGGGGCCGTGCTGCCCGTAGTCGGCACAGGCTGCACAGTGAGCCCCTGCGGGCCGCATGTGGCCCTCGGGCCCTATGTTGTGCAGGCCTGGTGTAGAAGATAAAACTGTAAGTTGGATTCAGTAGAGGGAGAAGTGTTCAGAAAAGAGTCCTGTTCTATATTTTGAAAAGCCGTGGATCACGCGTTCATATCACAAAGTACTTTCCAGTCCACTGGCAGCTAAAGATGGTGTTTTAATGCAGCCAAATGCACAGTTATCCCTCTGAGAAGCAGGCATGCAGCCCATCTCTGAAGAATAGGGTTTAGTGCCCTGAAAACAAGGATTCTGGAGAGGATTTAGGGCCGTAGGGGACAAGCGACACAGCAAGAGCTCCTAGTGCAGTGCCCGGGCAAACCGGGCTAATGCAATCCTTGGCTGGAATGGGAGAAGGATCAGAGAGGTGATTTTACCGCTGGGTCTGGCACTGATGAGAGCAATACTGGCATAGTGTCTCCAAGTTCTGGCATCCACATTTTAAAAACAGATGCTGAAAAAGAGGCAAGAATGCAGAAAAGAGCTACCACATTCGTATGGGCTAGAGAAAATGCCTGAAAGAGACCAAAAAGAACTCAATCTCTTTAGCTTACCCACAAGATGATTGAGAAGATACTTGATTTCTGCATACAAGGACTTTCCAGGGAGAAAAGAACAGGTACCGAAGGACTCTTTCATCTAGTGAAAGAAGGCAGAACAAGAACCAAGTGGCTGACTACCAGTACTTGAAATTAGAACTCAGACAGGTGTTTTTAACAGTGAGGCCGATCAACCATAGGAACAAACTAGTAAGAGAAACGGTGGCTTCTCCATCTCTTATCTCCAAATCAAGACTGGATGCCTTTCTGGAAGTTGTCAGCACAGCGGCTACTGGGCAAATATTCCGCCCTGTGATGTCAGACTAGATGATGAAATGGTCCCTTTTGGCTAGAAATGCTACGAATTTGCAAAAGGTCCTGCTTCGGGTCACTAGATCCTCCAGTGGAACCTCCAAAAAACAAGACAGGCGTGACCTAATACTCCTGAGATTTTTCAGCGGGAAAGCAGAGAAAGAAATCTAATCAGTAAAATAAATAAATAGCATTAGTGCAGGCCTCCTTCAGGTGTCATCAGATAGTTAAATGAGACACGTCCACATGTCTTTTCTCCCTTGCAACAAGCTCCCGGCCATCCTTCACATGTCACATCCACGGACTTCAACTTTCTGCTACCAGAACAGCCAATCGGGGTGAAGAAGTCTGGCTTTACTCTGCCATCCCTACATGGTGAAATGACTTTCAAGCAGCTGTGATGGTAACAATGGGAACATAAAGCTCCCATTTTGGAGGCTCTCAGACCCCGAGATGACTCTAGAGTCAAAGCTCAATGTGTCATTTACTTGGAAACAAGATCACATCTGCCAACCTGAAAACGAAGGACCTTACACAGAAAATGGGCCATTAGCAGAGAGGAGGGTGAGTTTGCTAAAGGCGAGAGATTTGCAATTCTCCATTACCAACATCTAACGAATGTAACTAATTAGTGTTTCTGATTACCAACCATCACTGGTGGAGCTGCTCATTTAAATGCCATGATTCACACACCCACCAAGCAAGTGTATACCTATGCCATGATTCACACACCCACCAAGCAAGTGTACACCTTGGCTACATCTACACTGGCACCCTTTTCCGGAAATGCTTAAAACGGAACAGTTTTCCGTTATAAGTATTTCTGGAAAAAGTGCGTCTACATTGGCAGGATGCTTTTCTGGAAAAGCACTTTTTCCGGAAAAGTGTCAGTGGCCAATGTAGACGCGCTTTTCCGGAAAAAAGCCCCGATCGTCATTTTCGCGATCGGGGCTTTTTTGCGGAAAAGACTACTGTGCTGTCTACACTGGCCTTTTTCCGGAACAGTTTTTCTGGAAAAGGACTTTTGCTCAAATGGGAGCAGCATAGTTTTTCCGGAAAAACACTGACAATTTTACAGTAGATCATCAGTGCTTTTCCGGAAAAGCAAGCAGCCAGTGTAGACAGCTGGCAAGTTATTCCGGAAAAGCGGCTGCTTTTCCAGAATAAGTGGCCCAGTGTAGACACAGCCCTTGTGTTTTGACAACAAAATCAGTAAAAGGTAGGAAACGGAGTAGATATAATTAGGGGTATTTAAGCACTTGACCATCAGAGGATGGGTTTCTGAGCATCTGTACCGTACACAAGTGGCTTGAATTGATTCTCGTTTCTTCAATGCCAATCCTGAAGTTCAGTCTGCTCTCACATATTCAGGGAGACATGGATCTCACCCTGAAGAGTGCACCATCAGCATAAGGAGCCCTGTTTCTAATCTTTGGGGCCTCTCCATGCTGCTCTGACAGGGATATTAAATACTGCCGCTTCGAACACTTTGAGAAGTGCCACGGAGGAGAAAGGCATTACTCAGTGCGAGTGAGGGTGGCTGGATCGGGCCCTACATTAAAGCAGAAGCTGATGCCTTGTGTTATGAATAGCACAAGTAACAACGCACGTGCTCGTGTTTCTCCATATTTACGTGGATTTCTATTTAACTACAACTTTCTCACCTCCATAGAGAACACGCACGCTGCCAGGGACAGAGAGCAACCATGCAGTCATCCATTTGGCTGACACACAAAACCCCTCCATTTTCATTTGATTTTGTGACAGGCGTTGGGTTTTGCTGCTCACCCTGTTTGGCTTTATTAATCGAGCTGTAAAAATTCTATTACAAACCTCAGAACCATCAAATAATACAAAACCACGAGCAAATGTTTGGCTTCCTGAGGGCCATTGTACAGCGCCTCCACCACCCGATAATCACATTGCGAAACGCCGGCTCAAGCATATTACCGGATTAGTTGGAAGACAGGGCAGACGAGACTCCTGCCTTAATGACCCAAATTCCATGGTGGGTAATTAAGAAAACAATCAGCATTCTTCCTGCTTTCAGACAGGACAATCGTTTTCTATCGCTTTTAAATTACCAAGCAAATGAGTCAGCCTTGTTGCCACACAAATCAGATCAGGGAGCGCTGCGCTTCGTTTCGCTGGGCACCAATAACCGTGGAGCGATGCTGGATTCGCCGTGTACCTATTGATCGGCGTAAGTGCCGTGCAATCGCAGAGCGGCTGTCTGCACGCAGCTCCCCCACACTGCCCAACTTGCATCAATATCAGCCCATTTAAACGCGCCGAGTGACACGGGCGCTTGGAATTGCATTGGAGCAAACATGGCGTTACAGCTGGGTGCGGATTTGATTGTTTTCCACAGCAGGCCTGTGTGTGCACCGAGCATTGCTAGAGGATGTTGTGGAGATCAGGACTTTAACAGGGTTCAAAAAAGAGCTAGATACATTCATGGAGGATGGGTCCAACCGTATTTATTAGCGAAGGTGGGTACAGAATCATAGAATACCAGGACTGGAAGGGACCTCGAGAGGTTGTTGAGTCCAGTTCCCTGCCCTCATGGCAGGACCAAATACTGTCTAGACCATCCCTGATAGACATTTATCTAACCTACTCTTAAATATCTCCAGAGATGGAGATTCCACAAACTCCCTGGGCAATTTTTTCCAGTCTTTCACCACCCTGACAGTTAGGAACTTTTTCCTAATGTCCAACCTAAACCTCCCTTGCTGCAGTTGCTTCTTGTTCTAACCTCAGAGGCCAAGATGAACAAGTTTTCTCCCTCCTCCTTATGACACGCTTTTAGATACCTGAAAAGGGCTATCATGTCTCCCCTCAGTCTTCTCTTTTCTAAACTAAACAAACCCAATTCTTTCAGCCTTCCTTCATAGGTCATGTTCTGTAGACCTTTAATCATTCTTGTTGCTCTTCTCTGGACTCTCCAGTTTCTCCACATCTTTCTTGAAATGCGGTGCCCAGAACTGGACACAATACTCCAACTGAGGCCTAACCAGTGCAGAGTAGAGCGGAAGAATGACTTCTCGTGTCTTGCTCGCAACACACCTGTTAATGCATCCTAGAATCACGTTTACTTTTTTTGCAACAGCGTCACACTGCTGGCTCATATTCAGCTTGTAGTCCACTAGAGCCCCTAGATCCCTTTCTGCTGTAGGAATGGTGTCCCTGCCTCTGTTTGTCAGAAACTGGGAATGGGTGACAGAGGAGGGATCACTTGATGGTTACCTGTTCTGTTCCCTCCCTCTGGGGCACTTGGCATTGGCCAATGTTGGCAGACAGGACACTGGGCTAGATGGACCTTTGGTCTGACCCAGCCTGGCCTTTCTTATGTTCTTATCCAGTCTCATCATGACCTCACATCTCTCCAGTCCTGAATATTACCATCCTAGTGAGCCTCACTGGTGTCTGGGCACTGACCTCACATCTCTCCAGTCCTGAATATTGCCATCCTAGTGAGCCTGCAGCTGGTGTCTGGGCACCTGGGCTCCACTATGGTTCTGGTTCGTGGCTCTATTTTGTCCTCAATGGTTCCTATCGTTACTACCGCTAGCTGTAGCCAAAACTCTAGCATGCTCACCGGCAGATCACGCAGACCTGCTCTGCCCAGGGTTAGCTATTACGGGGATACCAGCACCAGCAGCCAAGTTCTCCCAGCGTTGCTGTCACAGTGGTGATCAGCTGGTGCCAGCGAGTGTGGGAAATAGCTGTCAGAAAAGTCTAGTGCAGGCATGGTCTATGTTGTCAAGTCCTGTCACCTCCTGTGCCTCACTTTCCCCAACATACTGGGCTAACAATACACATCTGCCTTCTGCGGAGGGTGGCGGGGGCCCTGGTTGAAGGGGGCCATGTTACAGTGACTAGTCACCCTACTTTATGGCATTCACTCTCAGAACTACACCTCTTAAAAGGGCCAGGAAAGCGAGCGAAGCGTGGGATTCTCTCACCACTAGTCAGCACCACACTGCCAGGAATTGCCGGGGGTAGCCCCTCTCTCTGAGGCAGGGAGCAGGAATCCCAAACTTTTCAAGCTGAAAGCGAGAGGGTGGGGATAGGGATCTGTGAGCCTGGTGCATCTGGCTTCCCATGCCCCAGGAATGGATTCAAAATCAAAGTCACAAGGGGTTTGGCGAGTATCGGCCTAGATTAATGGGCCCAGTCATTAAAAATAACCCAAATCTGCCCCATTTGGAACAGAAAGGAAGTCCTGTGGGGCTGTGTCTCAGAGACCTAGGACCCTAGGCCGTTTGGGGTTGAAGTGGATAACACACCTACCCTACGGAAGGGGAAGGCTCATGCACACGCCTTGCTTGAACCCAGCGTAGGTCAAACCAGTGCTGCCCACGCCAGAAGCACCAGGCCTAGCGCAGAGCGGGGAGAGCCTGGTCCGTGTGGAACGTGAGGAGCTTGCGCACCACCACGCCCGGGTCCGTCAGCCTTACCTCTGGTGATGACGCCCTCCAGGCGGATGACGTTGGAGTGGTCAAACTGGCCCATGGTGCTGGCCTCTGCCAGGAAGACGCGCTTCTGCTTGTCGGAGCAGCCAGCTCGGAGGGTCTGGATGGCAACTGGGAGCTCTCTCTTGCTGGGAAGTTTCAAGCAGCCCCGGCAGATTTCTCCAAACTCTCCTGCGCCATGGGAGAGACAGGAGTTAGCATCACCAGTGGCAGGAGCGCAGACGTTCGATGGCCCCGGGCGTGGGCATTTGAAAGAGGTAAAATCCCCCAAGCACGCTGCGTAGGGCTGTTTTCATGCTGCCGTTCCTCTCTGAGCTCGGCTAGCTGCTCCCTCGGCCGTTCACTGGCCATGAAAAGGGGAGCTGTTTCTACAGCTGATTTTATTCATGGCTATTTCAAATCCTTCCCTATCGGTGTGCAGAACGGGGCCACACCCATCTGCTGCAGGGCCAGAGTGTCTGACACAGACCAACAGGTAGTGCTGCTCTTCTAGAAAGCCAGGTCCCCTTCTGGTCGCACTTCCTTCCAACAGGACTTTTGTCTCTGGACCCGCAAACACTGTGATCTGGGAGCACAGATGCAGGTCCAGTGCGTGTGGACAGGGTGTCTGAGTGCCTGGCTCACCAGACAGATGGGCTCTGCCCTCCCGTAGCAGGGATCTGTCCCCCTAGAAACGCTCCGGGGGAAAATCACCCACAACACAAAAGGGTGAATTAATGTCCCTTTAAAAATTCTCAACCTAGCCCCCGTTTAGCATCTTCCCCCACTTCTGGGGGGCGTCTGGACTAGCTGTGAACACGCCGATCTTGGAACTAGCAGCTCCCCTGGCGCAGCAGCCAAGCACACACTGCACTTCTGGAGGATTTCCATGAACGGGAGATTATCTCCCAGAGACCAAGACAGTCCTCACTGGGATCCAGCTCTGTCCTCTCCCCAGCCACCCCACCTGTCCGTTCTCCAGCCAGTCTCCAGCCTGCATGAAAAGTCAGGGCTTCTTGAGACAGAACTTTCTGCTCCTTGTAGTCACAAACGCGGGAGCACAAAGGAACAGATTCTAAAGAGAACAGGAGAACTTTGGAGTGACAGGGAAAACCCAATAGATTTGAAGAGCTTTATTAAGCGGAGAGACAGGAATCCACACAGTCACTAATACAAACCATTTTACATTCCTCCTCTTTAAACACCTACCCTAGTTGGATTTCTTTTTCGCTAAAAGAAGTTCAGAATCGTTGGGCCTGTTTCTCTGCCAGGCAGCTGCTAAGATTCCACTGTCTAACAATCGCATTTTGTTTCCCTGTTAACATTTAAGCTGCTGGCTAAACTACCCCCCCCCCCAACCTACCCCAATAATTGTTGTGGGTTTTTTTTAATGATCTTCTCTTTGGGAAAATGACACCCAGAACACCATGGCCTCCACAGATCTAGCTTGCATTACCAATTAAAGCAGGGGGGCAGAACCTGTTTTTGGGTCAGGGGCCGCTGACCCACAGAAAAATCAGCTGGGGGCCGCACACAAGTGAGAAGCAATGTGAGAAGCCCCTGGCTGAGAAGGAGAAAGACACTCCCCATATTCCTCTTGCACACCAGAGCCTAGGGGGTAGGTTTTGTGTGCTCCAGCCCTGTGGTGGGTGGCAGGGAGACTGGTGTACCAACAAGGGCTCCCCAATGCTGAGTCTCAGGGGCCAGATCCAGGCCAAGCTGGGGACCCCCCTGGGCCTGAGGTTCCCCTCCGCTGAATTAAACCTGCATGGATTTTAATTTGCTTTGGTGTTTTTGGCCATAAAGTCGCCGGAAATCAATACATCGTTAAAAAACTTCATAATCATAAATCGTTTTTATGCCACTGTCAACCTGCTAAGAAGCAGATCGTTGTCGGCGTTCTCTGTGAGAGGCTGCTCACATCACCGTACACATCGCCGGAGGAAAATAACCAGGGACATGAAAATCAAGCTCAAGCACAAAAGACTAACCCACCACCCTCTGCTCCAAGCCTACAAAACCAGCCAGGTTCACAGGGAGACCTGAAAACCCCGAAGTAAGCCAGGAGCAGGAAATCTGTGGGGGGGGGTGTCTAAACGACACGGCTCCGTCGACGGAGCCATGTAGATGAGGCTGATCGGCAGAGGGGAATGAAGCCCCAATTTAAAAAATCGCGGCTTCATTTAAATTTAAACGGCTGCCGCGCTCTGCCGACCAGCTGATGATCAGCAGTTTGTCGGCAGATCGGGGCAGTCTAGACGCTCACCTGTCAACATGAAAGCTCTTTGTCAACCTCCTCGGTAAATCTCATCCCACGAGGCATAAGGGGAAGGTCAACAAAGAGCTTTCATGTCAACAGGGGAGCGTCTAGATTGCCCCGATTTGCCGACAAACAGCTGATCATCAGCTGGTCGGCAGAGCGCGGCAGCTGTTTAAATTTAAATGAAGCTGCGATTATTTAAATCGCGGCTTCATTCCCCTTTGCCGATCAGCCTCATCTACATGGCTCCGTCGACGGAGCCATGTAGTTTAGACACACCCTAAATGGCTTTAAGAGCCCCAACGAGGCTCCCAGCATCCTAGAAAGAGCTGGAGTGCCCACACTGGCTGTGATTCGTTCCTACCCTGGGGCCTGCTGTGGTCCCCCTGCACAGAGCACCGCGGCCCTCAGCCTGCTGGTTTCAAGGGAGCTGGTGAAAGGCACCATCCTCTCAGTGATTCCCAGGGATCTTGGGCCTCCCTCCTTTACCATCACTGGCGTACGTGACAGCTGCTGCAGGGCGGCACTCCGTTCTCAGAGGGCACCTCGCTCCATTTTACTCCCAGGCCCGGGACCCTCCGCTCCAATGGGATGAGCCGAGTTGAACTCATCCCGCGGCCACCAGCACAGCCCCAGTGGGATGCACCGTGAGTATGTGCGTGTCTCCCATTCCCTAGGATCATGGGAGACAGGGCCATGAGGGCTACGGGGGGAAACGAGGGGCTTACACCTGCTGCCCTTTGTTACACTTGGTCAGGTCCTGCCATGGCCACCATCCAAATGTCTCCACCTCAGTCAGAACCAGCTGCACCAGAGGCAGCACCAGAGGAAACCTCCCCATGGAAAGAAAACTGAGGGTTGTATTTCCACACTGGCAATAATGCCAGGGGTCCTCTTCCAGAGCCAAACAGGCAGGCACGCAATTGATTTCGGCTAAGGAGCTGCTGTGAACAGGCCAAAATGGCTCAGTCTCCTGCAGGGGGTGAGGAGCATCTTGGAACGCGTCGGCAGGGAAAAGCTCTGGGTGAAAAGCCTGCGTTAACAGGTCCTCGCACCCCTGCAGGCGACCCCGCTGGTTTCTGACAGTGCCTGTTCGCGAGTGACTTGCCTAAATCGCACCAGCTGCGTGCGGTGGAGAAGCGGCACTTCTGGGCTCAGCGCCTTACAGCCGCACGGAGCAAAGCCCCAACGCGGCCCTGACTGCAAAGTGTCAGACTTGGGACCAGCGGGCCAGATCCACACCTCAGCCAGCCTTTCCCACCCCCCCCGGCTCAGGCCCTACGGTCACAGCCGCAGCCTCCGGGCGGACAGTTTAGCTGCAACACTTTGGTGGGTTGTTTTGTCATCTAGACAAGGCACGAGTGCTGCACAATCTCTCTACTCCCCAAGTGCTTATACAGCCCTATCCTGGCAGTGTCTGGCACCTCCTAAGTATTTGCAAGCCAAAATATGGATAACACGCTGTCTCTTGCTCCTCTTGGGCAGTGGGAGGTAGGGATGCGAAAGGTTAACCGGTTACCCTAAAAGGGTAATGCTCAATGGTTCTGGTTAACTGACATAGGCTGGAGCAGCTCCCCACCTGGCCTGGGCAGGGGGTTGCTCCAGCCCCACAGGGGGCCCTCCTTGGTCAGGGGCTGCTCCAGAAGGGGCTGAGAGCTGGGAGCCAGCAGCAACCCCAGACTTCACGAGGGGACTAGGAGCCAGCAGGCAGCCCCAGCACGGGGCTGGAGGCAAGAGCCCCATGGGCTGGGGGCTAGCCAGCCAGGCTGGAGCGGCCCCCAGCCCGGATCCCATGTGGTCGGTTATCGGTTGAACATTACGTCGACCTAACGTTTAACTGGGATTTTACACTCCTAGGAGGAGGAACTCTGGTCCCAGAGTGGAAGAGGCAGGGGCTTGGATATTGCCCAGCTTCTGGATCTGTTCTGTACTCGCCCCCCTCCGACAATGGAGGGAGAGCTCAGCCCATGGGCCACACGGTTCTGCTTTTCCAGACAGAAACCTCTTGGCGGCTGACACCACGCACTGCTCACCGATTGGATTTACAGTTTTGCTCACGTCCCTGCTAATGGCAGGGGCTGCATGGGGGCTCTGTGCCTGGCAAAGCCCGAGGCCAGACCGAGCCAGGGGTGATACGGAGCTGGGCCACACTCGCCTGAGACTGTGGAAGGGTTTTTGTGGGGTGAACAATGTCACCGAGCATGCCAGCCCAGCAGCACCTGCCGGTGGGGTAGTGAGCTCTCATTGCACTCCCTGTAGCTCCTGGAGGGGTGGTCTGGCTGAGGACCAGTGCCCAAGGGCAAAGGCTGAGGAAGAGTGGAGCTGGGAGGCAGGTTGTGACTTGGAAATCCTGCCTTAGCCTCCTGGAGCCCTGGGAACCCCGCTGGGAAGTAGCCCTCGCCAACCTGTGAAAGAGGAATTCAAATCCAGCTGCTATGAGGCTGCAGATCCACACCCAGCGCCCATCCGATGCGCCGAGGATGGTGCCACCTCTTCACACGGATCAGTGTGTCCCTGGGGCACAGACGTGCTCAGCCCGGCGGGGATGCCTCTCTGCCGAGCGCCCCGGGAGCCTCTCGAACGAGAACACTTGCCTGTTCCAATGATCCGCTCGATTTTGATACTGGAGTTGTCGAGCTCTTTGGCAAAGAGGTGTACGGCCTGCATAGGATCCTCGCAGGTGTCGGGGTCAATGTACGTCCTCCGGGTTGGGATCTTAACTGCAGTGAAGAGGGGGAATAAGCAGAGCGTGGGTGAGAAGATACCGTGTGTTACCTCTGCACAGCATTTGCCCAGCCAGGATCCCGCTGAGCTGGGGACAGGAGAGGAAGGGGGCAGAGGGTAGGCCACAGGAGCTCTGCCCTTTGGTTTCCCAGCCAGCTCTGCAAAACAACCTCCTCCAGCCCCCACCCCCTCCAGACCACCCTCCTCGTCTCCAGCCCATCCAACTCCTGCAGCTGAGCACTCAGCAAACACAGACACCACGCCAGCCTCTGCAGCCACAAGAGCTGGGCTCGGACCTGGAGCAACAGCCTCCATCTGGAGTTAATTCCACTAACATCTTTGCTGTTTAAAGATCAGCTTAACGAAGACCGAGACGACAATAACGTCCCTGGGGCCTTGCAACCTCGATCCTCCAGCAGGGCTGTTTGGGGCCCCTTGTCGAGACGGTCTCCTGTCTGAGTAGCAAGGGGCAAGGGCTGCTCCCAGCCCCGCCGGCACTGGGGAGACCTTCGCAAGGCCCTTGCCCTCAGTCACCGCCCAAAACGACCATGGGCAAATGGACTGTCCTCGCCTCTCCGCACTGGGGATGTAAAATGCCATTTCATTGGTTAACTGGTTAAACCTCCCCTCCCAGCCCCCCACACCTGCCGCTGGAGCAGCCCCCTGCCCACGGCCGGCGGGAAGCTGCCCCAGCCCCACCGGTTAACCGGGACCGGTAAGCTTCATGCATTTAAGGGTTAACTGGTTAACCATTCCCAGCCCAACTCTGCGCTAGCAACGACATGCAATGAAGTGAGGGAGGCCGATGTCTCTGTTGTCTATGGAAACAATCCCCACGGCCAGGGACCAGGCCTTCCTCCCCGCTGAGGCTACCGGCACATCGACACAGCGCCGTTCTGAACCAGTCCCGGCCTCGCTGCTCCCACCCTCCGAGCTCCTCTCCTGCCCGCGCTACCACGGACCCCCTCTAGAGAGGCAGCCCCGGCGGCCACCGGCAGGGGGTCGCGACGGCACCATTAGGACGTGCCCGGAAGCACGGCTGGGATGCTCTCGGGAGCTGAGTGCAGGAGGAGCTTTGCTTCCAGGACTGATGGAACAAAGACGCTGCCTCTCCCCTGATCTGCCTCAGCAGGAGCCTCCTGGCATGACGCGCTGCACTAGCTAACCCCTCTGAGAGGCGGGGCTCTAGGGCTGTGTCTACACTCGCGGCTTCTTGCGCGGGTAATATGCAAATGAAGCTAAGCGTGGAATATCGTCGAGCCTCATTTGCATACATAATGAGCCACCATTTTTTTCAGAAGAGGCTCTTGCGCAAGAAGGAGCATCTACACTGCCCCTTCTTGCACAAGAAAAACCCTCTTGCGCAACGCCGTTACACCAAGAGGGTTTTTCTTGTGCAAGAAGGGGCAGTGTAGACACTCCTTCTGGTGCAAGAGCCTCTTCTGAAAAAAATGGTGGCTCATTAGGTATGCAAATGAGGCTCGACAATATTCCACGCTTAGCCTCATTTGCATATGACGCGTGCAAGAAGCCGCGAGTGTAGACATAGCCTGGCAGTTTGCTCCCAAGCTCCTCCCAGGAGAAAAGGGAACCGTTGCCGCTGCCTGTTCTTACACAGCCCAGCCCAAACAGGGACGACGGCCTCCAGGTGGATCCTCGCCTACCCGAGCCGTCTCTGTGGCTGAGCCCTTCAGCAGGGCTCGTTATAACCGGCAGCTGCGTTGGACAGCAGCACGGATTGGAAAGCCTCCCCCCACAGGCCACCACCGTCTGCTAAACGGTAATGCCGGGCACCGCGTCCGGGAGAACTACGTGCACTGAGAGCCACTCGGGTACAAAGAACGTCGCACTGCCCAGGTGGGGACTAGAGAGGTAAAGGGGTAACTGGTTAACTGGTTACCCGGTAAGCACCTTACCAGTAACTGGTTAACTGGAACAGCCCCTGCCTGTGGCATCGTGGGTTTGGCCTGCCCTCGCCAGAGCAGCCCGCAGTGTGGCGGGCTAGCTAAGCCTGCTGCACCACGGGCCGGGGCTGCTCCAGCCTGGCCAGGCCCGTTGCATCGTGCTGCGGGTCGGTGGCTGGTGACTCCATGGTTAACTGGTTAAACACAGGGTTTAACCGGTTTGCTTTTTAAATGGCAGTTTCCGTCCCCAGTGGGGACTAGGGATGTTAAATGGTGGTTAGTAAGCGAATCGCGCTGTTGATGGGATTAGTCAATAAGGGGCTTTGCGGCAGCTCTGCTTTTTAAATGTAGTAAGAGGTGCCAGGATGTTACTACATTTAAAAAGCAGAGGCGTAGCAAGCAGTCCTGGCTTGCACCGGGTCCCCTGCTGCACCTCTGCCTCCCCTGTCCCCCGCGGAGATGATGCTGTAGGGAACCAGCTTTTAAACTGGCTCCCCCCCAGCACCGGCTCCTGCTCCTCTGGACTTTAGAGGCAGCAAGGGGGCGGGGAGTGACTAGTCAAGTAGTGAGTTGACTACTCAATAAGCCTAGGCTTAGCGGGTAGTTAATAGCTGGGGGGGGGGGGGAGTTGACTATCCAATAAGCCTAGGCTTATCAGGGAGTCGGCTACTCGGTCGCTTACATCCCTAGTGGGGCCCAGTCTTCCTCGCAAGCTGTGCGCTTGGGCGGTCACCCAGCAGATATTCCAATACCGCCCAGCTGATTAGCAGAGCGCCCACAGCTGGCAGCAAGTGTTTCTACTGGTGGTGCCCATCCGCACATGCCGCAGTGCACAGAACAAAATTCATTCCGCCCATGGATGGAAATAATTAGCAGAATCATTGGTGGGGACTGGCGCTGCCACTCCCGGGGTCCCCTGTAATCCTTCATTTTAAATGCCCAGACAGGAGCATGGTGGCTCAGCTGCTCCTGGAGCATCTGCTCCCAGCTCCACAGTGCCGGGTGCCCTGCTCTCAGGGTTCAGCCTTGCTCCACCCAGCAGGGCCAAGAATTGGCTGCGTTTCTGCACGTTCCCAACAGGCAGGGGCTGTGTGCTGCAAGTGGTGCTCCCGGGGGGGCTGAACCGGCAGCAAAGGCCATTCCCCCGTCTGCTGAACACAATTCCACGGAGCACACAGAATGCATGCGGGTCCTACGGCCTTCTGCCTGGGAACGATCGCCCCCAAGGTTCGGAGCAGGGCACCAGGAGCAACCCCCTCCTCCCGCCTCACTGACAGGTAGCCCAAGAAACCGCGGCCGCAGCACCCCCTCTTCCCCTGCAGCGACCGCTGCAAAGCCTTGTGTGACAAGCGTCCGGGCTCTGCGGCAGGGAGCAGCGGAGGAGGCGTGTGCTTCACCGGCATATGCCAGGAATCAAATAAACTCCTCAGCTCTGACATCTGCATTGCCTTTGACAACTGGTGTCTGCAAAATTATCCCTGCCTGAGAACCAAGAGAGGCCCCAGCAAACAAACGCCCGCTCCCCCGGCGCTGTATGTGAAGAGCTGACAGAATAATTCATACGCCCTCGAGAAAGCTGAAAGCATCTCCATTTCCTGTGACATGCCGGTGACCTCCCCGAGCAGCCCGCGCGCCGTGTGCAGGAAGGACGGCCATCGGCTTATGAAGCTGTCAAGCCAGCTGTCTCCGGAGAGCCGTGCTGTGCTGAGCGAGGCTTCTCCGGGATAAGACAGGATGACAGCTCTTCCAAAGGCAGGATTCCGGCCGCGCGGCAGAGAGCAGGGTTATGAACAACCATCAACCCCGCACACCCCACGCGATCCGACCCAGCGCGGGGGCCGGGTGGCACTTACAATGGAAGTACAGCTCCTCGTCTCCGTCCTGGCTGGCTTTGCTGTACCCACACTGTCTGCAACGAGACGCAAATGTTCACGTTAGGCCCTGGGGTGCGACTCTCCCCTGGATACAAAGCCCCACGTGACAGTGCCTGTGAGCACCGTTCAGCCCCCCAGTATGCACCAGCCCAAGGAGCCAGCTGCCATAAGTAAGAACAGCCAGACTGGGACAGACCAATGGTGCATCTAGCCCAGTATCCTGTCTGCCAACAGTAGCCCCAGAGGGAGGGAACACAACAGATAATCCTCACGTGATCCCTCCCCTGTCACCCATTTCCAGACACAGAGGGTAGGGACACCATTCCTAATAGCCATTGATGGACCTAACCTCCGTGAATCTATCTAGCTCTTTTTTGAACCCTGTTAAAGTCCTAGTCTTCACCACATCCTCTGGCAAGGAGTTCCACAGGTTGACTGTGCGCTGAGTGAAGAAAAACTTACTTTGGTTTGTTTTAAACCTGCTGCCTATTCATGTCATTTAGTGACCCCTAGTTCTTATATTGTACTGCCAGGGCCAAACAAACCTGCCCCTTTAGCCCCTTGGCTCTCTGTGTCCTGACCCCAGCAGGAGAGACTTGCTGAAGCAGGGACTGAATGTGGTGGAGCTGCAGCTCCAGCTGTGGCAGTGCAGAGGGGTGACTCTGCAGCCCAGCAGCAAGTGACTGGGGGCAAGCCACGCAGAGTGGGCACAGGCGGATCTTGGGCGGGGGTGGCAGCCAGCAAGAGGCAGGTCGAATCCCAAGCAGCAGCAGCATCAAGACAAGTCCCGAAGTCCCGTCCCAGGGATGGTGACGGAGCAGCATCTTCGGGTCCTTTCCAGTCCGCAGTAAGTGCACCCTGGGCTCCATACGCCGGTCGTTGTGCCCGCTAGCCTGGCACACGGAGCCCTTTTGCCAGCTCAGTCCTGTGGCTCACTCAGATGGGCACATCCTGCGACAGGGCAGAGAAGCGCCTTTGCCCGCACACCTGTAATCTCAGCCTCCACTTGCTGTTTTAGTGAGGACGCGGGTCAAGCACCCTGGATGGACGGACTCTCCCCCGTGCAGCAAGCCACTAAGACATCAGGGTTTCAGGCATGATGCTATCAGTGCAACAGCCTGCTCCCACTGGGATCTGCAGGGACTCCTATTCGTACAGACATCTGCATCCCACAGGAACGCCCGCCCCCAGCCGCAACCCCCCGCTGCCCATGGCAAAGCTGTTTCCGCCTGGGGCTGATGCTGCCCTGCCGGCGTCTCAGGCAGCCGGACCCCAGTGAGGACCGAGCAGGAGTCGGAGGCTTTGCCAGGCGTCAGGTGGCCTCTGTCTCCAGGAGGTCCATTTGTGAATAAACTGAAAGCACAGCCAATGCCACGCCCCCCCCCCCCCACCCGCCGATACCTGCCCCACGCCGGTGGGAGGGGCTTTACATCAGGAAGGGACTTCCCTCCAAAGTAGGGACCCCAGAGTCTTGCATCAGAGCCCCCTGCCCAGGCAACCCATGAATCAAGCCTTCCCGCCCTCCGAGCTGAACTGCGGCAGCCAGCGTGAGCCTGGCTCTTGGAGCCCAGCCATTCCGGAGCCCCCTCTGCTGCTGCAGCAAGGGGCCTGGGGTCGCCCAGGAGGTGCACTTCTTGGAAGCGAGCGAAGGGGCTGTTCCCACCCCTGGCCTGGCGTCACACAACACACGAGTCTGCACTTACAATGTTTTATTACCCTCTCCCTTTCAATTGCGCTCATTTGGGGCTCAATTTAATCTTTTAAGTTAAAAATTACAGCTCGTTACACGGAACCATCTGTCAGATGAAAGCAAACGCCGCTCCGAACCCTTTCCCTTGTGCCAGCAGCCCTGGCAGGAGGAACGGAGACCAGCGGGAGTGGCTCCGAAGATAGCACAATTATCCGCTTCGTGTACTTTCCCATGCAGTTTGGAACTCCAGCTGCCTGGGTCTCACCCAGCCGTACACGTCAGGGCAAGACCCAGCCAAATCGATACCCTGAGCTGTCGAAAAGCCCCGATTCAGCAGATTGCCAGAAACAGAGATTCTAAAAATGATAAACTAACTTTAAGGAATTTCTATCCTTGATTTACTAGCTGGAAAAGTGAAGCGCTTCCCCCTGCGTGGAGGTGCCCCAATGGAGCCCACTGGCTACGCACGCCCTTCAGTGCCCAAACCACAGAGGGTGTAAGACGGCTGCAGTTCCAAGACTTAGCCGGGGACAGTAGCTGAATCTGCAGAGACTCTTGCTGCTCTCTCTGAAGGTCCCCAGGGCTGGCCAGCACGGTGGGCACATTGAAAGCAATGCGGAGAATCCTGGGGGTTTAGTTGTTATCAACAACAGCACGCAAATTCTCTCAGATTTCGCCCTCCTTCCCATCCAGGTTCATTTTCCCAGTCACGTCATTAGATCGCTGGCTGCAGACCCAGCTCAGTTTCAGCTTCCCCCACTGTGCGTACCCGTAGCCCCTCTGACCTCAGTAAAATGACTCAGGCCACATCCACACTAGACATGGAAAGTCGGGTTAAGGTATGCAACTCCAGCTACATAAATTCCATAGCTGGAGTCGGCTTACCTTAAGTCGAGCTTGGCACCCTCTTCACAGAGGGAGGCCGACAAGCAAACACTCCCGTCAGCTTTCCCTTACTCCTTGCAACTGCCAAAAGTATCGGCGCCAACCAGAGCTGCCATCCGTGTTCGACTTAGTGGGTCTTAACTAGACCCACTAAATCAAACACCAGAAGATTGATCTCCAGCATGGCAAAATCACAGCACAGCCTGGGCCATGTCAGACTCAGGATGGGTTTGACCGCTGGCCAGCCAGCTCCCAGGGGAGCTTGAATGCCACTCGCTGCTCCGGGCTGTGCGCACAGATCACACGGGAATGGCCAAAGCACTTTTCGGCTCCCAAGCCCTGTATCCCCACTGGGTGCCAGGCACAGATACTGACTAGTCCAAGCCTGGCACAGGAAGGTGAAGGCCACCCCTGTGCAGAGGTCCAGCTCTAAGCCTTGCGCAGGCCTCCTATGAGTGGCTTTGACCCTAAGGTCGTCACACATGCACTCCACAGGGCAGAACGTGGCTGCTACAGAGACGTGTCTTTTTCCCTTGCCCCCCCGGCCCCAGCTGCTTCATTAGGAGTAGCAACTGCAGCGAGCCAGCAAGCCGCCCCGGGAAACCCTTGGGTCTCTAACCCTGTGCACAACAGCAGAGGTGTCAAGGCTGCTCACCTCCTCCAGATCATCACGCCGATCACCATGGAAACCAGCACGATCAGCCCAGCGATGGCGACCACCACGATGATGACGACAGGGTTCTGCTCCCTCGACACCACCGTCACTGCCACGGAGGGAAGTGGGAGAGAGGTTAGGCCTGGATTCCCTTCTGCACACAACCAGCACCGGGGTTACAACTCCAGAGCCGCCTGCAGGGCCCTGGCTGGTGCTGCATCCCTTCCCCAACGGGATCAGGGAACAGAAGATTGATCTCCAGCATGGCAAAATCACAGCACAGCCTGGGCCATGTCAAACTCAGGACGGGTTTGACCGCTGGCCAGCCAGCTCCCAGGGGAGCTTGAATGCCACTCGCTGCTCCTGGCTGTGTGCACAGATCACACGGGAATGGCCAAGGCACTTTTGGGGAGCTTGAATGCCACTCGCTGCTCCGGGCTGTGCGCACAGATCACACGGGAATGGCCAAAGCACTTTTCGGCTCCCAAGCCCTGTATCCCCACTGGGTGCCAGGCACAGATACTGACTAGTCCAAGCCTGGCACAGGAAGGTGAAGGCCACCCCTGTGCAGAGGTCCAGCTCTAAGCCTTGCGCAGGCCTCCTATGAGTGGCTTTGACCCTAAGGTCGTCACACATGCACTCCACAGGGCAGAACGTGGCTGCTACAGAGACGTGTCTTTTTCCCTTGCCCCCCCGGCCCCAGCTGCTTCATTAGGAGTAGCAACTGCAGCGAGCCAGCAAGCCGCCCCGGGAAACCCTTGGGTCTCTAACCCTGTGCACAACAGCAGAGGTGTCAAGGCTGCTCACCTCCTCCAGATCATCACGCCGATCACCATGGAAACCAGCACGATCAGCCCAGCGATGGCGACCACCACGATGATGACGACAGGGTTCTGCTCCCTCGACACCACCGTCACTGCCACGGAGGGAAGTGGGAGAGAGGTTAGGCCTGGATTCCCTTCTGCACACAACCAGCACCGGGGTTACAACTCCAGAGCCGCCTGCAGGGCCCTGGCTGGTGCTGCATCCCTTCCCCAACGGGATCAGGGAATCTGATTTTGTAAGCAAGGAGATGAAACTCAGGGCGATGCAAAACCAACCAGCCTCCTCCACTAGGGGCTCATCGTAAACGCAACCGGAGAAGGGAACAAAACTCTGGGTATTTCTAGGGCAAAACACCAGGATGAAAACCTGTCAGGCTTTTTCTGCATCATAAAGAACCAAGAAAGGGGACAAAGCAGGTCCCCTCTTACAGCCTCCGTTAGTAGGGTTGCCAGGTGTCCGGTATTGGACTGGACAGTCCGGTATTTGCAGCATGTGCCTGGTAAAAAAGACCCTGTTTTTCTCAGACGGAAGGCCACTTGGGACATTCTTCCCCACTGCGTTTCGTGCGGGGTTTGGGTTTTTTTTACTCAACAACTTTTGGTCCTTTTTTTGTTGTTGTTGCTCAACCAAAAAATGCAGGTGCATCACAGGGGCACCCCAGGGGGACACGTAGCCCATGGGACATGCAGGAGTTTTCCAACGGGTCCATCGTCAGCTCATCTAGGGATCTGCCTCGCTTTACACCAGGGTGCAGAAAAAGCACTAGCGAAGTCAGCGCCAAGTACAATTTCAGGCGGACAAAATGAGAAAGTCAGCCACTGTTCAGTCTTATGGGGGAGGGGAACCTTTTTTGGGTCGGGGGCTGCTCACCCACAGCACAATCAATTGGGGGCCACACACACACACACCTCTCAGCTGCACTGATGTGGCCCTCGACTGAGAAGTAGAAAGACACTCCCCACATTTTCCTCACGCACCAAAGCAGGGAAGCCCAGGTGGTAGATTTTGTGTGCTCCAGCCCCGCAGTGAAGTGGCAAGGGGGAGGGGGAAGGCTGGAGCACCAGTGTGGATTCCCCAATAATGCGGGGAAGCCTTAACCCTCAGAGGCCAGTTCCAGGCACCCAGCCCCCAGGCCTTAGGTTCCCCACCCCTGTTGGCACATCCATATTTTTAATGTCTGATTTTGTAAGCAAGGAGATGAAACTCAGGGCGATGCAAAACCAACCAGCCTCCTCAACAGGGTGCAATAGGATGGAAAGGTTGAGAGCCCACTGCCCTAAACGGCAGTTTGCAGACGCCGCAACCTCGCCCTGCTGGCTGCCGCGCAGAAGAGATTTCCACCAGGATGCATTTTACATGCTAAGAAGCGACTTTCATGCTGATCCCTTGTTAGCAGCCCACAGACTGCCTGATGGCAGGCCAGGCCTGGGAGCAACGAGTCACCATAGCTAGCGTCAAAGCAGCAAGGGGAGCTCAACATGCTGTTTTCGTAGGGCTGGATTTTTAACTCTTAATTTCACAAGGAGAGCGGCGGCTTGTTTCCAAAGCACATGCCGCTGGACCGAAGCTGGAGGATTTGCCGCAGCTCGGTAAGGATGTAAACCCACTTGGGTCTCCAGTCATGCCATGCTCCCAGTCTCCGAGCTCGGCCCTTCCTCCTGCTAAGCCAGCTTGGGTTCCTCTAGCAAAGATGGAGAGAAACTTTCTCCTGGGGGCGCCGAGCTGTTTGGTATCATTATGTCTACAGTTCATGTGCTGAGGCTGCTCTGGTGCCAGAGCCAGCACAAGTGGAGGGGAAACCAGCGTCAACAGAGGGGAGTAGAGGAACCTTTAGCTCTTAGCCGTGGTGGACTCATCCTTCTGTTGTTAGCTGGCACTAAGAAAATAGCCCTGTTCTGAGGGGAGACACACTACAGGTAGGACCTCCCTGGTCTGGCACCCATGGGGCCTGAGTGGTCCCAAACCACAGATTTTGCCAGATCAGGGCAAGTCAAGGCTCCCCTCCTGGCTGTTGGCCCTGCTGTCCCCACCCCTGATGGGGCTGTGCTCCCACTGAGCTAGGGGCTGTCTTCCATATCGCACGGGGGGCACCAGGCCCTGCTGTCTCTGTCCCTGGCTGTGCTCCCTGCTCTGACGGCTTGGCTGGGGCTGTATTCCCCACCACCAGCCCAGCCCCTGAAACTGGCCAGCCGGGGCTCTCTAACCCAGCCATACCCGTGGTCCTGCTGCAGCACGGATGTGGCCAGAGCAGAGAGTCATGGACCTGAGAGGTTTAATCTGTAGTTCGATACTTTCCTCTCTTGTGCTGGTTGAACAGAGCTCCGAGACAGCCCCTTTCGAGAGGCCGTTTTCATTGGATTCAATCTGTTGGGAAAATGTCTCCGTGTGGTAAATGGAGGCAATTTAAAGCCCTGTTAAACACAATCTGCAGAAGTTCATACTGAGCCGGCTACCTACCGCTGTCCCCACCCTGCCGTGAGACAGTGAAATAAGATGTTCTTGACAACAGTTTGGAATGGAAACTGTAAAACATAAAGGCCGCAACAAAATCCAGTGAAGTTGATTCCACGAGTCAGCAATGTGACAGACACCCTAAATGCAGCTTGGAGCAGGCCCGACTGAGGTACAGCGACCAGCTCGGATCTGGACACGGATCGGGACCAGCTCTGCTTCCATGTGAATTGATCTGCAGGACCCTGGTTTGGTTTCCACAGGACGACAGTGCAATCAAACGCTCCCTTCAGTGGCATTCCACGAAGACAGCCCGGTTCAGAGGAATGAAAGACAGACAATGTGCCCGTCACAGTTCAGCTGGCCGTGACCAACTGTCATTCCCATCTGACAGTGGTGCGGCAGCACCCGTGTAAGAGAACAGGGGGAGGGGGGATCTCTCCAGGTGTCGTCACAAAAACGCCACGTCACAACCGAGCATCCCCCTCGTCAGCCTCAGGAGAAGCCCCAGAGATGCTCAGCCAATTTCTCCCCTCCTACTGCCGAGGAGGCCGGACAGAAGCAGCATGGGGGCCCCTGTCCTTACTGCACTTACTCTGTGGACAGTCCAAGGGCAAGGCCAAGGGCAGCAGCCTGCAAGGCTGTCAAGCCAGCAGCTCTCATTAGCACTGCATAAATCTCAGACACTGGAAAGAAACAGGCTCCTCGGAGTGAAGGAATAGGCACCCGCTCAACAGACGGATTGGCGCCCTCCTTCGGGGACAGGCCCCCATCCAGAACAGCCTCTACTGCTTAAGTCAGCTGAGTCGGCAGCACAAACCACAAGCAGAAGGGTTGCTCCCCCCCTCCCGTATGCTCAGTGTTCAACACGCACACCACCGGCCCGCCTAGCACTTACGTTCCCCCAAGGTTTCCACTTCGATGCCAGGACTGTAGTTTCCATAACCCTGGGCTGATGCCGTCCGGACTTGGAAGACGTAGAGCGTGCCAGGCCTGAGGTTACTGACTGTCACGGCTGTCGAGGTGGTTTTCACGGTCGAGTAACTTTGATCTCTTTGATCCTAGGAAATAAGGAAACAGGGGAGATTTAACTAGACTGACAGCTGTCCTCTAGCTGATCCGTGGAGCAGCTGTCGGTTGCAGTGCCCCTGGGCCCCAGCAGCCAAATGTTCAACCATCAGTGAAAATAAAACATTTTCGAGAGGCCTCATTAATAGAAATTACCCTGAAAAGTTACAACGAGGGCAAATACAACACAGCTAGAACTAAGGGAGGCGACAGGTAAGCGTCCAGGGAAAAGGGTTTATAAAAGAGCTGCCCTCTCTCACTCGTGCCTTTAAATCTTCTTTCACACCTCCTTCCCCCAGGGAGAGTGCACGCCCAGCCCCCTCCCCTGCTACCCCCACGGAGGGTCTGAGCCCAGCGCTGCATAGAGGGTGTGACTAATATCAATAATCACCCTGCAGCAAAACTTGGCCCCCCCTGGATAGGGCTGAAAATAGACGGCTGAGCAGGCCTGGCACTGCAGCCAGCAAAGGGCGCTGGGTGCACAGACAGCCCGGCTCCCCCCCACACACCA